ATATCGTAACCCTTAGCACAAGTGTGATGTAAAAGGTACCACTACTAATCCAGACTGAGTTACATGTACTGTGTTGGATTTTCTAGGCTAGGAACCATTACAAAGGATCATTGTTATTGTAACAGCTTTGATGAACACAATTATTAGTAATTATTGTGATATCAAAATGAGATATTGTGCTGGTAAAACAACATTCAATATTTCCACCCTTAAGTACTTATTAACAACACACGTACATGTCAAGATTGCGTATTATTCAGTATACTATTACAAGATGCATAAACAGCTATAAGGATTATTATAATACCACATTGCAAGTTAGCTTAGACTGCATGATTGATGGCTGCTTGTAAATCTTATGCACACAGACACAAACCATATGGTGCACAGACACAACACCCTGGGGCAATAGTAATGATTACAGGGTACTAAGTAAAGTAGCATAATAGTAAAAGCAAGAGTTTTTGTGAACATCAGGAAGTAATTCAGTATAATGTAATTCCCATAATACAACACAGACTGGTATTACATGTATAGCAATATGCTATAAGTGACAACAACAAGTATAGCTGGAAACAACTAATCAATGCAGAGGCTTTTCATCCTGTGCCCGATGACTGATGCCTTTCTAAAAAACTTCATGCCGGCAAAAAAATCCAATGCACAGACACCTTAAAACCACTTAAATTACAACATTATTTTTTATTAATAACAATGGCTTATTGTAATAGTAACAGTAATATGCTTTACTGCAATAATAATAATAATAATAATAATAATAATATTATTATTATTATTATTATTATTATTATTATTATTATTATTATTATTATTTCAACTGTAAAAACATAATATGCGTGGACAAGGACTAAGGAACAATATCAAATGAACAGTTAAAGACTGGCTGCAACTTGTACAGCAACCATAAGTACTAATAGCTCGACTAATAGTAATGGATTATATATATTCAGTAATTGACTACTGGATAATGTTTATATACATGTAAGCCTACTAGATACTAACCAGTACTCCATCCACTTCGTGATTTAAAAAACCATGATCCACTGAGCTGCCTTTCTTGATGTTTCAGGCTTTCAGCCTCCTGAGCGAGCTCCTGAGTGAGCCTCCATAGCTCCTTGACATCCCTCCCCCTTATTCATTAATCATTAATTAAGCTAAACTACTTATTATTCATAGTGTCTATCCCTATGGATAGTTTCCAGGAACAGTTACAC